CCATCCCTGTATGTGTATCTTTGCACTTGAGGTGCCTCTCCTGAAAACGGCACAACAGTGGGTCTTGACTCTATCCAATTTGCCAGTCTGTGTCTTTTGATTGGGGCATTTAGCCCATTTACATTTAAGGTTTATATTGTTATATGTGAATGTGATCCTGCCATTTTGATACTAGCTGGTTGTTCTGCCTGTTAGTTGATGCAGTTTCTTCATTGTGGCAATGGTTTTTACCATTTGGTATGTTTTTGCAGTGGCTGGTACTGGTTGTTCCTTTACACGCTTAGTGCTTTCCTTCAGGAGCTCTTGTAAGGCAGGCATGGTGGTGACAAAACCTCTCAGCAACTGCTTGGCTGTAAGGATTTTATTTCTCCTTCACATAGAAAGCTTAGTTTGGCTGGATATGAAATTCTAGGTTGAAAGTTCTTTTATTTAAGAATGTTGAATATTGGCCCACACTCTCTTCTGATTTATAGGGTTTCTGCCACATCTGCTGTGAGTCTGATGGGTTTCCCTTTGTGGGTAACTCGACCTTTCTCTTTGGCTGCCCTTGGCATTTTTTCCTTTATTTGAACCCTGGTAAATCTGATGATTATGTGCCTTGGGGTTGCTCTTCTTGAGGAGTATCTTTGTGGTATTCTCTGTATTTCCTGGATTTGAATGTTGGCCTACTCTGCTAGGTTGGGGAAGTTCTCCTGGATAATATCCTGAAGAGTGTTTTCCAACTTGGTTTCATTCTCCCCGTCACATTTAGGTACACCAATAAAATGTAGATTAGGTCTTTTCACATAACCCCGTATTTCTTGGAGGCTCTGTTCACTTCTTTTCACTCTTTTTTCTCTAATCTTGCTGTCTCATTTTATTTCATTGAGTTGATCTTCAGTCTCTAATATCCTTTCTTCTGTTTGATTGATTAGCCTATTGAAACTTGTGTATGCTTCAAGAAGTTCTCATGCTGTGGTTTTCAGCTCCATCAAGTCGTTTATGTTCTTCTCAAAGCTGGTTATTCTAGTTAGCATTTTGTCTATCCTTTTTTCAAGGTTCTTAGTTTCTTTTCATAGGTTGAGAACACACTCCTTTAGCTCAGAGAAGTTTGTTATTACCCACTTCTGAAGGCTGCTTCTGTCAATTTGTCAAACTCATTCTCCATCTAGTTTTGTTCCCTTGCTGGTGAGGAGTTGTGATCCCTTGGAGGAGAAACTGCATTCTGGTTTTTGGTGACTTCAGCCTTTTTGCACTGGTTTCTTCCCATCTTCTTGGATTTATCTACCTTTGATCTGCTGACTTTTGGATGGGGTCTCTGAACGGGCATCCTTTCTGCTGATGTTGAAGCTATTTCTATTTTTTAGTTTTCCTTCTAACAGGTCCCTCTGCTGCAGCAGGATTACTGGAAGGCCACTCCTTACCCTATTTGCCTGGGAATCACCCATGGGGACTACAGAATTGCTGCTTCATTATTGTTGAGCTGGGCATGGTGAGGCACATCTGTAATCTCAGTTACTGGGGAAGCTTCAGCAAGAGGATCATCATTTGACCCCAAGACTTAAATCCAGCCTGGGCCACACAGCAAGACCTAATCTTTTTAAAAATTAAATAAAATATTGTCAAGAGGGACACAGTGGTACATATCCCTGGTCTCAACTATGTGAGACACTGAGGTGGGAGAATCACTTGAGCCCAAGAGCTTGAGTCAAGCCTAAGCAACAGAGACCCTATCTTTTCAAAAAATAAGAAAAACTCGGTAACACTCGCACATCCGCGCGTGCTCTCTTTCTCTCTCTCCTTGCTTATATATAAAGAAAAATTACAGGAGAACATTGTTTTGGACTAAGCTCCAAACAGATCAGACTAAAAATCAAAAGAGAGAGAGCCAGAAGCAGGATAAAGTTCTCTTCCCATTTGCGGACATTGCTGAAGCAAGAGTGGCCAAAATGAATTTTAATGCCTTTGTGACTTCTGACTGAAGCAAGAACCACAAAAGGTGTTTCAAAGCATCTTCCCACTTTCATAGGAAGATCATGTCTTCCCTCTTTCCAAAGAGCTGAGACAGAAGTACTAGGTTCAATCCATGCCCATCCAAAAGGATGATAAAGTTCAGGTTGTGTGAGGACACTGGAAAGGTCAGCAAACTGACAGTTTAATCAAGGTTTACAGAAAGAAATATATCAACAACACTGAACAGGTACAGTGGGAAAAGCTAATGGCACAACTGTCCATGTAGGCATTCACCCCAGCACGGTGGTTATCACCAAGCTAAAACTGGACAAAGACCACAAGAAGATCTTTGAACAGGAAGTCAAATCTCACCAAGAAAGAAAGGAAAAGGCCAAATACACGGAAGAAACAATTGAGAAGATGCAGGAATAAAGTAATCTTATATACAACCTTTCACTGAAACTGCTAAAATGGAAAAAAAAAAAAGAATCAAAATGGAGTCTCTCATGCTGAGTTCACCAAACTAAAAATTAGTTATCAGACCATTCAAGAAATCAGGAGAGATAACACCCTAATTTCCCAAATAAGCCAGTTTCAATTGCCATGACAATGAGGTTTTCTGTCTTTAACTCTTTTTTTTTTTGGTAAACCTCTCGGGTGCTGATGTCTTTAATCCTTAAAACAAAAGGTAACCTGACATAACCTGAGGTTAAACAAGCACTTATTTCTCTATTCTGCCCTGCTCCAGCCTTACTAGGAAGGTAACTTTGAAATGACCAATCCACTTTTTATTCTTTGTTTTTGCTTTATTCAGTCTCTCTCTGTCTATAAAATCAACCTCCTCTGCTCAGTTCACTGAAATACTTGTTTTATTTTATGAAATGAAGTATTGCTCAAATCTAAAATCACAAATAAAACCAATTAAGATCTTTAAACTAAATTGTTGTAATTGCTGTAATTTGTAATAAATTGGCAGTATTAGTTAAATGATTCCTTGAGCTCTGTGACCCATTCCAGAAAATGATCAAACTCAAGGAAGGGGTGAGGAGAACCCCCCTCCATCCCACCCCCAATTTACAGTAAGTTAGTCAGAATACCAGAGGCCAGGGGTCAAGCTCAAAGGCTCACACCTGTAATCCCAGCACTTTGGGAGGCTGAGGAGAAAGGACAGCTCTAGGCCAGGAATTTGAGGCTGCAGTGAGCTATGATCATGTCATTGCATTCCAGCCTGGGAGACAGAGCAAGAATCTGTCTTTTAAAAAATAATTATTATTATTATACATATATACATACATATATATATATATAGTTTGTTTGTTTTAATTACCAGAAGCTGGGACTTACAACTGGTATTTGAAGTGGAACAGTGGTCTGCAAGACAGAGCTCTTAATTTGTGGGACCTGACTCTAACTCCAGATAGACAGTGACAGAATTGAACTGAATTACTGGACACCAAGCTGGCATCAGAGAATCAGTCAGTATGAGGGGACATGGTCACAGAAGTGCTCTGTGTTGTGTGAATATAGGAAGAGAAAAAAACTGTTGTTTTTTATTATACAAGAGATAATAGGGACTCAGATATAAGTGGTAAAGGAAGATGGTGAAAGAAGGGAAGGATAATGGTTAAACTTTGAAGTGGTAATGCAGCTGAAGCTATTTTTTAATGAAGAAAAGTATGACATCTTTTTCTTTTTGCCTCTCACTGTCAACTTAAAATGCTATAAGAAATCTAACACTCAAAAAAAGATCTGACTTCAGCTATGAAAAAGGTAATCTAATGTCTTACTGAGACTGTTACAGGACAATCTAAAATTTCAGCCAAGTTACAGGTTAAGACATTTCTGAACAAAGAAAGAGTACAGAAATTTAATTGTAAAGCTGTGAGAGATGCCTTGAAAAAGAACAAAAAGCACTACCTTCATACAGTCAAATCTGAGACATTCTGCATTCTATATTCTCTATACCCTACGGAAGAAAACGAGTATATGCGTTAAGAAGAGATCTGGAGTCTGACTACCTGTGTTCAAATCCTAGTTCTACCACTTACTAAGAGACTTTGTACAGATTACTATAGGTTTTTGTGAGTAGGCTCTCTCACATTTAAAACAGTCATAATACCAATACCTAACCTCCATGGGTAGTTCGTTATGAATTAAATACATATTCAGCAGTCAGAAAAGTACCTGGCACAAAGTAAGGATGCAATAATTGTTGGCAATTAGGATTACTGTATCCCTACTTTAAGAAGACTCTAATAAACTTCAATGAATTCTATTGAATAAAAAACTCTAAGAAATCATACAGTTAAGAAATACATAAAAGTGTGCTTAAGTCAAGTTCTCTTAAACTTTTTTTGTAATAGATTAATAAGATCTCCCATTCATCCAAAAAAACCGTTGTTTGAGAAACACCTGGAAAATTCTGGACTGGGGTAAGTGAGACCATCTTTTACATGTAATAAGTAAATGCCATGGAAGCTGAAGAACACTGTTACACAACCGACTAGAAATTTTAGTACAGTTCCCAAACAGTTCCTATGAGACACTCACAGTAAATGAATGCTACTGAATTCTGAGGGTACAAGGTTAAAATACAAAGGTATGTATTAAAGGGTCAGTAACTCTGCTGAGTTGTTCATAAGTCCCTAGTTTTTCTACAAATTTTACATGTAACATGAAATCAGTGTATTTATGCTTTGATATTAAAAGAGTATCAGCCATACCCATGGGAATACTGCTTTTGTAGACTGCAGCCAAACTACTACAGGACACTAAGAACAAGCTTATTTGAATCACAGGAATAGCAAACAAATGAACAATACAACTCCATTCTTGTAAACCCAAACTGACATGATACATTTTAACAAATATTCATAAGACAATTAGATATAAATATGGAAATAATTAAATACCAAAACATACACTGCTTTGAGAAATTAAAATATATAAAATTTAGATTTAAAAGATTAGGAGACAAACTTATAAAATCAATATTTGCTTTAAGAAGAAGAATGATTTTACAAGCACTTTTTATAGTATTTCTTGGTAAGCAATTATGATTTCTGTACCTATGTTCTTTGTGTTCCAATAGCTGACAGTCTCTACATGTCAGTCTATCACATGTTTCACAGAAAAGTTTCAACTGTTCTTGTTTGTGTACAGGGCAGAAAACAGGGCGTTGACCAGATGCTCCAACAGACTCTGCAGCAAAATAAAACAAATGTTTTTTAACTAAACATGAAATTTTTGTCTAGTTTTCTAAATTCCTATTGATGTTGACATCCAAAGCTTATAAAGAATAAGCAGAAAATGCTACAGGGGTAAAAAAAACTGTAATTATTACAACTGCGTCTATCTTACCTGAGACATCTTCTTTCTTCCTGATCAAGTGATCTTTAGTGAATTTTACTCTTTGATGTGCTTCGATACATGTCTTACACAGCCACTCTCCACATTCTACACAAAAGCCAACTGCACTTGCATTGTCTTCACAACTAGTACATACCTAAAAGAGGAAAGAAGTACTAATCTAAATTAAATATATAAAATGTAGGTCCAAAAAACAGAAAGAAAAAACTTGTTCTTAAATATACTGTCTTTCACTGTATACAGAATAAAATAATTTTATTATCCATTTATCTTCAACAAAATCCTTTTCCTTACTGATAATTCATGTAGGTAAAAATCTAAGGCTCAGAAGACAAAGTCTGTGCAGATTTGACTTTTTTTTTTTTTTTGAGGCAGGCTCTGACTCTGTCACCCAGGCTGGAACGGCAGTAGTTCAACCATGGCTCACTGCAGCCTCAACTTCCTGGACTCAAGCAATCCTCCCACCTCAGCCTCCCAAGTAGCTGGGATTAAAGGCGCACACCACCACGCCCGGCTAATTTTTTTATTTTTTGTAGAGATGGGGTCTTGCTATGTTGCCCAGGCTGGTCTCCAACTCCAGGGCTCAAGTAATCCTCACACCTCAGCCTCCCAAAGTGCTGTGATAACAGGTGTGAGCCACCATGCCTGGCCCAGATTTGACATATTAAGTAATGACTTTAGTCTCATTTAACTAAGATTGAGAATGTGTAAGAAAGTTATCTTTAACTTTGTATTTGAAACAGGAATCCATACCAGAACCACGCTAAATTACTTAACTATCCAAACATGCTTTTCTTATAATTTATACTTTGATATCAAGATAGGAATATAAAGAAAAATTGAGAAGCATACCTGTTCTGATTTTTCATCAGAACTGCTAGGAGCTTCAGATGTGTCTTTCACAAAGTAATTATCCACAAGGTCTATCTGTCTGCATTCTTGGCGGCATACTGGGCACCGTATTACACCAACTACAACATAAAATAACATTGTAAAATATTCTTCAGGAACAAACAAAGAAATTGTGCATGATGTCCATAGGAAAACATTCATTCATCACAGAGAAGACCAAAGAAATGAGCATCAAGAGCTCTCCTTTGGGGTAAAAGTGATACTGTATTTAGGGAAAGAAAACAAGCATTATGATGCCTCCCAAAAAGTTCTTCCTTATTACAAATGTGGTTAGCTGCATAACTGCCCCCAAAGAAATCCAGATCCTAATCTTTGGAAACTATGAATATTACTTTACATGGCAAAAGGGACTTTACAGATGTGATTAAGGCTCTTGAGAGGGTTTGTCCAGCAGGTCCTAAGGGTGATCAAGTGACCATATCAGAGGGAGGAAGACAAAGATAAGACTACAGAAGAATGGAAGGCAATTATAATAATAATGGGCACAGGGACTGGAGTGATGTGCTTTGAAGATGAAGGAAGAAGCCAGTGGCCAAAACCATAAAAAGCGTAGACACAAGGAAATGGATTCTCTCCCAGAGACACCAGAAGGAACCAGTTCCGCCAACACTTTTGACTTTAGCTCAGTGAAAGGGATTTCAAACTGCTAGCCTCCATAATGGTAAAACAGTAAGACACATGCTGTTTTTCCTTTTTGTTCCCTCCCCCAAAACTGAATGTCTTTTTTCCCTTCTTTTTGACACATGCTGTTTTTAGACACCAAGTTTGTTACTGATAATTTTGTTACAGCAGCAACACAAAATACAGTCTATCATCTTACAAATCCTGACTTTGTTATAGACACTTGAATTTATGCTAATATGAGAAGAAAGATCATCTGTGCCTTCACCTGCTAGTGTTCTAGAATCTATCAGAATGCACCAACTGTTGACGTAACACACAGAGGCTTAAGAACTAAAAATAGCACCAGAGTCAACAAAATAAATTGAACAACATGTGTCAGCCATGAAATTGAGGATACAGCATAAATGACACAATCCATGCCTTCATGAAGGGTTCTAGATTAGTACAGAATTTTTTATAATGTATACAACTACAGAAAGCACCAAAGACTGGGATATAAACTGAGTCCACACATAGTACACAAACTCTAGCACCATATATAGTCATTCTGATGGAAAATGAAAACAAATATAGCATGTCATTCTAAAAGAAGGGTGAGGTGGCTCATGCTTGTAACCCCAACACTTTGGGAGTGGGACAATCAGTTGAGCCCAGGAGTTTGAGGCCAGCCTGGGCAACACAGTGAGACTCCATCTCTAATTTTAAAATAAAATAAAGTTTTAAAATAACTAGTGTTATATATTCAAAATATTGTTCTTATCACAGGTTTTCTCTTTATTTTACCAAAAACATTATATAAAAATATCTTGGTCAAAGAAAACACACAAAAACAATTTTTCAAACCAAAGGAACAAAAAGTAAAGTAAAAAGAAAGGGGAAAAGGAAAAATATTTTCACATTTAGGAAAACATGAATTAAAAACCTCTTGAGAAAGTATGTAATATAAAACTACATATTATATAGTAGTTTTACATATAAAAAGAAAGTAAGTTTATAAGTTTTATAAGTTTTTAGTTATAAGTTTTATAATATAAAAAGAAGGTAAGTTTAAGTAACTGTAGGGGCAAAGATATGGGAGCAACTAACTTTTCTTAGAGAGAATCAGTTAAGTTTTCACCAAAAAGATAACACTTTTAATAGGGTCTTGAAGAATGAACATGAATATACCAGTGTGCAAGAAAGGGTTTACCTGGCAGGGCTGAGTTGCTCAAATGCTACACATTCCTAAGAAAGGCCTGTCTTCAGAACTGGCCCTTTCAGGCTCCTCGGAGATGACCTCTGAGCATGTGAAAAATTCTGCCTGATAAGAGTATTTTGTATACCTGGGGCTTTAGACCACACTATGTTCAGTTTGACTTCTGGGTGCAGTGGAGTCCAGGTAGCTGATTATCAGTCCTGTGGGGGCTGCAAGGCAGAAAGACTGATCTCCAAAACCTAGACACCAAGGTTCAGGTGAGATTCCCTGCTTGGCAATACTCCCGGTGTATTGTCAAATATTGTTGCTGGGAACATCTGGAAGCATGGATCCACTTTCTCTTGGACTCTGCACCATGTACCTTTTCTCTTTGCTGATTTTAATCCGTATCTCTCAACTATAATGTCTTCAACTATAATAAAATGCAACCATAATATAACAAATTTTCTCAGTCCTATGGGTCCTTCTGGTTAATCACTGTTCCTGAGGCTACTCTTGGGGACCCCCCAACTCAACTAAGAAAGAAGGAAACTGATAATAGCAAATATGAAGTTTACCAATTAAAATAAAAAAGAATAGAAGACTACAAAAGATAGCAGAAAATATATTTAGCTTTCCTTCTATCTATATGTATATAATTACATCTATGTAAAACACTGAAAAAATTAATGAGAAATTTGCAACATCTAAATAAAGAAGTATTTTTGTTGAAGGACACCAAAGAAGGAGACATTCTGTGTTCTAAGCAAGAAAGACTCAATATTGTAAAAGTGTCTGTTCTGTGTAAATGAATGATTCCTTACCGTTCCATCAGATGTTACACTTTCTGAAGCTCAACAAGTTAATTCTCAGGTTCTTGTAAATTTCCACCTCAATCTAGCAGGCTGACATCACAGCTTATGGCGACAAAAATTCATGTCTTTCTTAGTCTAAATCCCCACTAAAATGATATTAAAGAATTTAGAGGATTAACACAACATCCAAAAAATGAGAGCGGAGGATAGAGCAAGGCACATACTTCAGTACGCAAGCAACTTTAGCAAATTTAGATGAAAAAGAATAACTCAACAGTGCAGAAGAAACCCAGTCCATAGTAACACAGGAAGGACAGGATACACCTGAGTAAGACTTACTTGCTGAAAAAAATTTCAGAGAAGTTTGAAGTTACAATGAGGGAACAAACTAGAAATTCTAGATGATTCCCAAGTTCCTACATAACTACTCAAAATGAGGAAAAAGTATTTTAGCCAGAATAGACAGTGTTTAACTAGCATAGTTCTGGAGCTGAAGGGTGTGGATGGAATCACCAGCATGTAAGTAACTCAAATGTCAAGTGCAGTTATGACTGCTAAGGAAGAATATTATCAAGGACAGTGATGCTTGTTACACCAAATTTACAAATCAAACAAGAAAAAGAGCTCTCAAATTTATGAGACAGCTTTCAAACATTTTCAACTGCAAACCACAAGAAGTACATTTTACATCAAGGCCAGGACAGAAATACATACCTGTCTAGCTGAACAAACACTAGTAAAACAGGGGTCAACTACCTTTCCATCAACCATTTATGATTAACTTGCAACCACTGTACCAATTTACTTTTAAAATTATATAATATGCTTAAAGCCAGGCTGACTCTTAGCATGACCTACAGTCTTTTCATTCAGCCCTAGCTTCTCTTTCCAATACTCTCAAGCAGTCACTCCAAAGCTTCAATCATCAACACTACTCTCCTTTCCCTTAGAAAATAATTATGAATGAAAAATTACAGATATGTTTTCAGGTACAGATGGGGATTGAGAGAATTTATACCTATAGCCTCTAATTACTTAAGTCAGAGCCCAGTCGAAATGATGAGAGTCCTGTAAGCTAAGTGTTGTTGAAAGACTGGAATGAATTACCCAAGGAATGGGAGAAAGAAGCTGGAGGGAATAAGATTGTCAAGTGGTGCCAAAAGCCTCAAACTAAAGAAGTATAACCATGCCTAAGTTTAATTACTCTCTCCACGATGCACCTATCTCCTACTCATCTTTATTCCCACCCTCTGTGCACACATTAATAAGAACCTCAGGAGTGCAGTGGTGGGAGAGGTAACAAATAGCAGGAGCCATGCTACTCTGGGGCCTGGGACTGATCTGTCTGACTTCCTGTCTATGCCTAGCCCATTCCAGCTGCAGCCATGTCTGGGGAAAAGATGATTTTTGATCCTACTATGAGCAAGAAGAAAACTAAGCAGCAGCAGTCCTTTAGTTAGATGAGGAAGGGGATACCCAAACAGAGGAGACCCAGCCCTCAGAAACAAAACTGGGGACAAAGAATTGGAAGGTGATGAAGACAAGAGTAGGGGAAAAGATGCTTCTGATGATCTAGATGACTTGAACTTCTTTAATCAAAAGAAAAGAAAAAGAAAAACACAAAGATATTTGATACTGATGAAGCTGAAGAAGGTGTAAAGGATCTTAAGATTGAAAGCGATATTCAAGAACCAGCTGAAGTGGGGTATGACCTTAATATTACGCTTGGCAATAAAAAGAAGAAAAATAAGAATGTAAAGTTCCCAGATGAGTATGAAGTACTACAGAACGACAAGGGTCTGGAAGATGAAGACAGCAAAAAAGTCAGTAACCATATAGCCCCTGCTACGGTGGGTCCAGAAAGAGACGACACATGAGGAACTACTGAAGCGAGTGTTCAACACCATGAGGGAAAAGAATCCAGACATGTTTGCAGAAGAGAAAAGGAAATTTGTCATCAAACCTCCACAGGTCATTTGAGTAGGAACTAAGAAAACTTACTCTGTCAACTTTACAGATATCTGTAAACTACTACATCATCAGCCCAAACATCTCCTTGCATTTTTGTCGGCTGAATTGAGTACAAGTGGTTCTATAGATGGTAATAACCAACTTGTAATCAAAGAAGATTCCAACAGAAACAGAAAAAGTCTTCAGAAGATATATGAAGGAACACTTTACTTGTCACATATGTTGATCACCAGACACAAACCTGAAGAAGGACACTCTACTTCTTACAGTGACAAACTTATTCTCGATATTCTGTTGCAAGTACAAAACAAGTTTCCAGGCTGTCGCAGGCAAGCGAGCACAGCTCTGTGTCAAAGCTACTTAATTTGCTCATCACTGACTTTACAAAGTGTGTTGTGGAGATTTGGCAGGACAGGTTTGTCATCAGAATGGATATACCGTTGTAATAAAAAACAAGATTAAAAAGCTGCCAAGT